CCACTGTGAATCCAAGGAAAGTCAAGCCCAACAAGTTTAGGAGATACTTACAATTCAGACGGTGCCTGAGGTATGTTACTACACTCTGCTACTGCACTCTATTATTACTATGACATTCCTACTACACTGAACCAGATTTACACAGGTTATGAGTAGATCACAGGTGATACAGGGCTTGAGGTCCAGATCATAACAGATGAACAAGCGCAGTACTAGCAAGTCTTTAAAATTAATCTCTAAGATTTATACCTACTGAGAGCAATGCAGTGCAGAGACCATCTGAAAGTCGACATTTGCAAAGCAACAAAATGGATATCAATTAAGTAACGAAGTGTTGCAGATAACTGTGGTAAGCTTAGACACCACAGGATGGCAAGTGTTCACAAACACCTACAGTTTTGAAGGGCACATTATAGTATATCCTCTCTGAAGTAACAGTTACAAGTTGTGGTTGGGGCTGTTGAGAGTTCAGGGTACCGCTGACATGGGAACTGAAACACAAGCTAGCTTAATATTACATATGATAATTTCAGAAGCTGAGGCAAAAATGGACCTCTAAGGTAGGGGTTATTAATGGAATTCTCTGATGAAGAATTTAGGGAAGCTATCTTCAAACTGTGGGTTGTTCTGACGGTGGTGATCTTCAGTTCAAATGCCAGCTACTTGGATGCATTAGTCCAAGATTAAAAGTAACATCAACAGGGTTTTCTGACATGGACTTTATAAAGTTGCAAAATTTCAGTATAACAAGCAATAAGAACTGTAAGTTACTCTTTAACCGTCAAACTGTTTTATTTTTATTTTTTTTTTTAGAATCAGTAGCAACTTTGTGACAACTAAAGTTTAAAAAATGCACTTGATTGCATAGTGACAGATTTGCAGAACATTTTTCATCACACACACATATGTGCTTTCAGTTATTAATAAAATGCTTCTGCCCTTAATCTGCCATTGCCTGAATATACAATTTCAGTGACTTGGATAGACAAATACTGTTAAGGAATTCTGTTTTCCCTGTTTGAGATGCAATTCAAATACAACCAGTAAAACTGAATACTATGTCTTTAAAACTGGCTACTGCATGCCACAGAAAGGAATACCGAGTCACTTTTCTATTAAGTTCCTCTTGGAGTGGAATGATAACACAACTTTCTTTTCTTCCTCATCCCCCTTTCCTTTTTTTTCCTCATTAAAAGCAAGAAACAGCCAGCTGCCCTGGGTAACACCACAGGTAGATATTAAAAAGGAGACAGCCATTATTTAGTGGCAACAGGAATATAAATACATGCACTAACCTATAAACTGGTGTTTACTTCAGGAAAGTAAGTCATATTTTTCCTCTGATTGCCGTGCTGTCAGTTTAATGCAGCGTAAATAAACAGTAGGTGCATGATAGCTTTAAGTAGAAAGTGTTCATTCCACAAGAGGAGCAGATTACTGAAGCCTGATGCCTATAATGGCAAAAGCAGGACTTCCATTTTACCTAAAAATACAGCCTCCCATGCTAACAGACTTGTGGCTTTTCTATTAAATTAATTTGTCATAATTCTATGAAAAATATTATGTACTCAAAGAACTTTACCAAAAACATTCATTTTTGCAGCCCTCAACTTGAACCATTTGAAAAAACAAAAGCCAATCACTCCTCTGTAATTTCATCATCCCATTGCTCTAAATGAAAGCTTTATATAATCAACCTAATATAACAGAAAATAAAATGATATACAGAATTGCCTATACTTCGAGTTATTTTGTTCTTATAAATATATTCCCTCACTGAAAGTAAAAAAGTCCCTTTTGGAAAAAGCAATGATTTCTGAGAAGATTGTATATACACTCTACATGGATTAACATAAATTAGAAGAAAGTAAAATGCTCCAGATGTGTTTAAACTGTTATAGAAGGAAAGTTTGTGGCTTCACTGGATATATATTAAATATATCTAGAGAGAGAGCAATGGCAGTTATATAGAAGAAGGCAATAAAATGCTTCAGTAGTATCTATATTAAAATAGCATAGTTCCTAGAAATATGACTAAAACATTTCAGAAATCATGTTTTCTCCAGTTTTAATTCAGAAATCTACTTTTAATATACATATTTATATAAAAATTGTGAACTATTTTACTAACAAAAAATTTTCCTCAAATTCATCTGAAAACCTTAAGAAGACCTTCACATTTATCTGACAATGCTTAGATTAAAAAATAGGTGACAATTAAAAGGTGACAATGCTTCCAAAACTTGAGTAGTAAATGCAATTAAAAGATTTGTTGGATTATTTTCCCCAAGACCACCAGACTTTGGCCGATGATCTTCTAAACGGCAGTTTAAGCCCTGCTCTATCCCATGAAATGTGGGATGTTAGTGCTTATTCAGGACTTTCCTACTCTGAAAAGGTTTCCGTGATGAAAGGGTGGACATGCTTGCGTTCCCGGCAGAGCTGAGTGCGGCAGTGGTGTCCATGGGATGCTGGCAAGGCTGCAGGTAGGGCTGGCGCTGCCTGCACTGTCTTGCCTTGGGAAGCACATCAACCAGAGGGCAGGTGCTCCTCGGATGACCTGCTGGGCCTACGCTGCAAGCTCGGGCTACTGTGGCAGACTCTCTGCTTCTCATTCTGCCACAGCACTATGTCCCATTAGCAAGTTACAGATCATCTCTGTCTGCTTTATTGTGCTTTCTCAGAGGTGCACAGCAGCAGGTTAGGATTCATGCGTGTGTTTGAAATAACAGGTGAGGACTGACTGCGAGAGTTACTTTCCTATTTAAAGTATTAAGAACAAAGAATATAAAAAGGAAACAGCCAGTTTTTCAAAGTGTATACACAGAAAGCATTCCATTTAAATATTTTTTGTTCCAGTAAACTCTTTTGCATACAAAAGACTTATTTATTACATATTTGAACTTGTGGGAAAAAGGGAAGGAATGCACTGATTCCTGAAATAACTCTACAGTCTTTTGGAGACTTTACTCTTCTGTGCTCTTGTTCTAGTCAGAACAGTTTTATTCCAGGGACAGAGGAATCCCTTGGAGTCAGTTGTTTCTTTTCCACTAGCTGTTTGTATTCAGGAGTGGGCATACATAACATACTAGACAGTGTTTTAATTTCTCTTCTATTGCCTTATTATGTGCGTGTGCTATCTGTTCAGACGCATGCTTATATGGGAACACGTTGCATTTTCTGCCTGTTTTGTTACCTACTCCACGTTATTACACATTTCTGTGGCAAACCATCAGTTCAACTTGAAAAGCAAGGTAATACCAAGTGACAACCTCAAATAGAAAATGAATTAGAAAGTGAGCGTATGTATAAATGCACTAAAGAGCATATAGGAATACGGGACTGAAAAGAGCAGTCTCAAATCCTACAAATAGTGCTGCCGAGTAATTAGGAGATAGAAATTGCAGAGAACATCCTACATTCACGTCTTTACACTCTACACTTACTGCTTCGAGTTGTTTTTGAATAGTGCGCCTGACTTGACACATTTCTATCTGGTGATTGTGTTAAATGCTTTAAGAGATAGTGAAATATCCAAGCATTCCTTGTGCTAACTACAGCTGAAATTTTACACTTATTGTAACCTTTCCTAACAATGTGAGAAAAACAGAGTAAATATATTAAATTTGTTTCACAACAGATGCTTAGGTTGTTAATATTTAAGATGCCTATTCATGCTATTCCTGTCTGCACATTTGTCAAAAATGTAAGCTTGAATGCTAATGTTTGCCAGCAGACTACAGCAGACAAATATATGAATGCACGGTACCAAAATAATATAAAGTAGAAATCAGGGACTGCTGCTCGCTCCCCCCCCCCCCAAGCACCATGGACCAGAATGAAAGGGCACTACCAGACCATGCACCCCGGCTCCTCTGCATATGAGTTTGCGAATTATTTTCATAGAAGCGCTGCGCTGACTTGGACCGACGAAAACCAGCGGAGAGCTTTCGTCAGTTCGAACTCATCGCAGCTTAGGAGCCGGTGCAAACTATTTCATCAAACTTGCATTTTAGTGAAGTTTCTCAGTCAGGGAAGCCTGGAGACAGGCAGAGGGAAACTGTGGCCCGGGCAGGTGCCTGTCAGGAGCGCTCCCTGGGGCAGCCAGCGGCGACGGCGACAAAAGGACGGCGGTTTGAACAAAACCTCGGCTGCCGCTTTTGGAGACGGAGCGGAAAAAACAAAACCCCATAAAATCCCGGAGCACACAGGCGCGCTCCTGGCACCGCTCCCCGCGGTAGCGGCACCGCCGGGTCGCGCCGCGGCCGGGGAGCGGGGGGGGACGTGCCACCCGCCGCCACAGTAAAGCCCCCGCCACCACCCCCCGCGCAACCCCCGCGCCCCGTGGAAGCGCCACCACACCGCCCTCCTCCCAGCGCCCCCCTTCCGTTCGCCGCTCCGGCCCGCAGCCTCGCCCCGCGCCCCCCGCTGTCAGGGTGCCACCGCCCCGGGCCCGCCGCTGCCGGCCTGGCCAAACTTTGCCAAACTTTAGTTTTCCCTTCTTTTCCCTCTGCCCGGGTCCACCCGCCTCTCCCGTCCGCGCCGGTATCGGGCGAGGTGAAGGCGGCGGGCAAGGGAGCGGAGCGGGGCCGGCGGCCGGCAGCAGCGCGGCGGCAGGTGTGAGCCCGCGCTGGCCGGGAAGCTCCGGCAGCGGCAGCGCCCGGCGGAGCTCCGCGCCTCCGGCAGCCCGAAGGTCAGCACCGCCGGCCTCAGTAAATCACCGCGGCGGGTGGCCCCGGCAAGGCCCCCGTGTCCCCCCACCCCGTCCCGGAGGAGCGACGCCGAAGGAGCGGGACCGACTCACTCATGGGAGCGCGGCAGGCGAGGCCGGCGACACCTCCGGCTTCCGAGGCGCCGGCGAAGTTAATTGCACTGAAGTTCAAGTTGTCTTTTCACCCATCAGGAGTGGGCGTTTAAAGGAAGGAGAGCGAGGAGGAGGAGGGGGAGGGGGAAGGGGGAGAGTCGCTCTCGCTCGCTCTCGCACTCACACACACGCACACACACACACACAAGCACATACACACGCGCGCGCGCGCACACACACACACGCATGCACGCGCGCACACACACGCACACACACAGACACACACACCCGCCCGCTCGGCTCCGCTCCCGAGCTGCCTCAGCAAGGAGGAGCCCGGACGGAAAACACCCGGGCAGCAAGGTACCGGCGTGGGGCAGCCCTGCCTCTGTGTGTCTGTGTGCGCGGCTGTGCCTGTGTGTGTCTGTGGTGTATCTGCCTCCCCCCCCCCCCCTCCCCGCCTTGTTCGGCCCCTCGGGCGGGGAGGTGCGCGCTGCCCCTGGGGAGGGCCCGGCGGGGCCGTCGGGGCAGCGCGGCGGCGGTCGCGAGGGATCGGCTGCGGTGGCGGAGGGGGGGGGAATCCGCGCCCTGCATCGCCGCCAGCTCCGTGCTTGCTGCCTCCTGCCTGCACGGCAGCGGGGGTCTATGGGGGGGTGGGGGGTGCAAACTGAGGGGCGGCTGTGTGTGTGTATGTGGCGGTGGGGCTGACGAGGTGGAAGTACTGGGTGGGGTGGCGGGGTGCATACATCTCTGCCTCCTCCCCCCCCGCCCTGCGAGAGGGACCAGAGCTCCCCTACGGCCCTCACTGTGTTCCCCGCGTACCGCGCCACCCGATCCCCTCCCGCTCCCCCGCCTTCCCTCTTCCCTTCGTCGTTTCCTCGCTTCTTTATTCCCACACCTGCCCCCGCGCATATCCCCCCTCCCGACCCCCGCCGCTGCTCCGAGGCAGGCAGCGCCCCACGGCCACCGGCCTTTTAAGGCAGATGAGGCAGAAGCTCGGAAGCCGCGCTGGCGGGTCTCCGCGGGACAGGGTGGCCAGGGTGGGGGCAGGCATCCCCCGGGGGCGACTGCCCGCCCCCCTGCCGCCGCACGGCTGCCCCGTCGGGGCCCGGTCCCGCCGCGCATCCCCCCGCCGATTGTCTCGCTTGGTGCTTCACCTGGCACCACGTGCTCCTCTGTAACGTTGTTTGAGAATTGCCTTCATCCGTGTAACTTCTCCTTGGGGAGGGACTTGTTCTCTTTGCTTTTGTTTTTAAGACCTTCTTTCCCATCTTCGCTGCTGAAGGATTTGGAAGTGGAGTTCCTGGAGAGTGATCCTGGTATGAGTGCGTGTTTCAGCGAAAGCTGAGGCTGCTTGTTGTTTACTAGGAGTCTGAGAAGAGAGGGGACCCTGGATGTCAGTTCATTCCCCGTTTTTTATTTGTCTTGACTTTGAGGCAGACTTTCAGCTCTGGAAACTGACAGGTACAATTCCTCCAGACACCTTTGCATTTCTCAGAAACAGGACAAAGACCATGAAGTTGATATGTCAGTGCTTTTCCTAGTTAACCAGTGGTACGCCCTTCTATTAATTGCTATTAGAAAGTGCAACCTCGTAGTACAGTTATTGAATAATCATTAATCCATGGAGCACACACAAGCCCAAAGGTTAATAATAGGAATAACAATTAATAATGTTGACCTTGCCAGTAGGGAGTGTATTTTTGTCATAGTTATTAAAAGGCACACGGATTTATTCAGTGTACAGTGGTGTAAATTTGGACCCAATATGCTGAGTACCAAATTCTGCAGAAACACCAGAAATTAATTTTCCTCATTTTCTCCATGATATCAGGCCTCTGACTTTTTCTCCCTTTAAAATGTATCATCCACTACTCATTTTAAACAGAAATGCTGTGTCTTTTATCAATTCTGACATCTGCACTAGGAAATAGCATTGAGCTCTCTTACACAGATAAAAATTTATTTGCCTGAAGCTGATTTGTTGTAGTGCATTGGACCTATTAATTTCTCAGAGAGGACTTAGTTTTTTACAGTCTTCAGGTACCACGGGGTAATAAATAGAAAGTAAGTACAAAGGGGGCGTTCTCAGTTTTGTAGGTCCAACTCTTGGCTCCCTAGAGCAGCCTCCTTGCACAGCTATTCTGACTAACCAGTACCCTTCTGTTGTCAAAGACCGGTCTTCTTTGTCTGTATCAGACCCTTCTGACTGACTTGGTCAGAAAGTCCTAATAATAATCATGTTTCATGTCTCAGAAATCTAATAATCAAGTTACTCATTCTTATAAATTGCAGCTAAGCTATTTGGGTTAGTCGCATTATCCACCACTTTAAAGGCAGGGAAACTGAAACAGGAAAATTAACACATTTGCCTGAGGCCATGCATGGATTTAAGAGCAGATCCAGGACTGGAACTGAATTTAGACTGAGATCCCTCTTAAAGATTCTAAAGTGCACTATGGAAAATGCAGCTTTGAAAAGGAAATTTAATGTAAACTTTCTTTTTCATCAATTTTGTATATTAGTCAAAATGCACACACCTTTTTTTCATATCACATTACCTTTTCTAAAGATAAGGTTTATCCAGGTTTTTATAAAGGTGTGGTGATACTTTTCAATGACATAGTGCAGTATACTGTGGGAACAAGAAATATTTAATATGAGATTGTGAGCAGTAATGGGAACTGAATTGCTTGTTGTTAGGTTACAGCTAGCAGTGTTTGCTGGGTGTTACGGTGTCAACAAAATATAGTGAGAAGTCCGGCATTAGTATCAATAAGGTGCTGTTGCTTACCTAGTGTGCATCGGTTTTCGCCACAATGCTCCTTCAGCACTTTCAGTATCAAAATACTTAACGTGTTTAAACATTGAAAACATACAGGGCAACCATATACTGTGTTTGAGAGTTACAATTTATAGCATTAAGCAGTGAGTTTTGCCAAGTTGTGTCATTCATGTCAATGAGGAAAGATGTATACTGCCTGCCCTTTAGTGTGGCATGTCATGAAAGCTGTATTATGGTATGACTGAGCACAAATGGCATGCCTAAAAAGCAGGTGTACAATATAACTTTATTACTGACACACAGATATTTCCTCTTCCTGAATGTCCACCCCCAGATGTTTGCTTGCCCAACCTTCTACAGGAACTACTGAAAGTCCTGCTCATCCCTAATGGCTGGGATTGTACAGTCAAAACCCTATACAGAATAAATGTTCATGTATATTTTTATGTATTTATTCTGACAGCTACATTCTGAGCTTTTTTAGAGTCCTGGTTTGAGGGAAGTGGGTGCAATCTCACTCAAATAATCATTCTCCAATACCATTAGCATTACCTGCCAAAAATGAAAGTGGCATATGAATCACAGTAAGCCACTCATGAATTTGTCGATTTAGAGCCTGCCAAGGAACACCAGAAATCCACATGATTTCAAAGTCCCACGACTTTTAGGGACTTTGAACAATATGTAGAAGTACATTCATTCAAAGACCATTTTACTGATGACCCATCCTGTAGGGACTACAGGCATAACTGACTCAAGTGAAGGACGATATTAACTGAAACTATTTCTGTTGCAGTGTTTCTCTTTCAAGTAAGGTAGTGAAAGTGGTGAATCTGCTATGTGAAACTATGTCAGAGGCCCTTCCTGAGGTGTCCCTTAATGAAGTGCTACTGTGATATACTGATGTGGAAATAATTTTGTGTGAGAAGAGATACTGGATCCTCTGGAAAGTATCACAGATGCTTTCCAATTCCTTTCAGACATGTAGATATCTTGATGTTTAGACATGACTAAAGAATGGTGGGAAGTGAAGTGAGGAGTAGAGTGGGGTTAAAAGCATCCACATAGATCCAGGAACCAAATAAACACATATGGGTTGGGTTTTTTCTTTTCTGCATCTGATGTTAACTGGAGCTTAAACTGAAATGTTCATTACTGAGAAGACACACCACATGAATGTGTGCATACTTGAGAGTTATGTTGACCCAATGTTGATAGAGAAGGCCATCTTCTGCCTCAAATTATAAATGATCAACAGAACTCTCAGTAATACTCAGATACTTAGGTCATTCCTAAGTAATATGTACCTTATCAACAAGTATGGGTTTTTTTCAGCTTGTAGTACACGGCTAATGCTATAGCAGTGAAAAACACTAAATGCCATCTAGCACTTCTCATGATTGCTTGCTTTTTGCATGGTTTGTTTTTAGCTAAGCACGTCAGAAATCAGAAATAACATTTAAGTCTCTTTTACCTCTTAACTTACAAGCCCAGAAGCCTAAGTTTTGTAATCTATTTATATGTTAGTACTTGTGAAGCACAGCGATAAAACCTGCTTAGTAGCATGGTCTACATGTAGCTGTCTCAGCAGCTTGATGACTTAGTTTGAGTAACTATGTTCCAACCTGTATTAGCATTATATGTCATAGATGAAAAGGGCAGTGAACGAATACAGCCATTCTGGAGTGGCCTCCTGTGCATATGTTAAATGCAAGTGGGCATCATTAGCTGTATCGTAACCTTGTTTGATGTTTCATCTTGCTGGTGGCTCAGTGGAATGATGCCACACTTGGATGATTTTCTGAATGTGGCAGCTGCTTTCAGTGGATTTCTGCAGTTGATTATTCTACTCTTTGTTGGTTAAACACCAATCTCCTGAGTTTAGGCCTATGCCATCTCACTACCTGAATGTCTCTCCAGAAAGTTTGTCCGCTGAACTGTGTATCATGTTAATAGTAACAAATTCATCTGTTTGTCTCCAGACCAGCTTATGTTTCCTCCAGTCATTCACTGAAGGTTCATGTTTCCAGGCCCTGCTGCTACACAGTACCTCAGTCCATTCGGCTTCTCGCCAAAATGGTAACTACTTTCTGCTTCACATCTCTGTTATAGGAGATCTTTTGATTGCCTAAAAAGTAAACTGCATCCTGTAATGTCCTCTTAAAACTTCTGCTTTATGGAACAGAAGATTAATTTGTTGCAGGTGTATCAGCAGCTGTACCTGACTGCCCTCTCTATGTTCTGTCAGTCTAAAATTACCATTTTGAAAGGATTGAAGGGGTTGTATTAATGTTTGTGTGAACCACTTTCCCTGCACATTGTCTCTGCTTTTCTCCTTCCCTTTGGTGTCTGGTTTGTCTTGGCTGCTTTTAAAAATTCTGTTGCCTCTAGTGAGGGACTGCAAGATTAAACTGGTGAAGAGAAACCAGGTGACTGTCTACTTTCACAAATACAGGTTGTGTATAATAAATTCAGGTTTTACATCTATGCAAATTACATCATCATATGATTATGACTACATGCATTTTTTATCAAATATGGCATATATTTCACAAATTATATTTAACTTGCAGTCATGTTGCTATTCTTAATACCTAACTAGGAGTTACAAGGTGTGCCACTAAATCTTAGTAAATAGGTTTATGAAAACAGAATAAATAAGGCAAAAATCACCTTTTTTTGGTTGTATTCTTGGTAAGTCCAGTGGAAAGGTTTTCCTGCTATAGGTGATAATGTATGTAAACACTTTACCGCAGAACTGTTTAGAGACCCAAGTATAAATGGGTATTAGAAATGTAGAGATTTTGTAAAGGCCTAAACAAAATAAGCCCAGAATAAGGAAGTTTTAAAGCAATGTGTCTTTGGTCTGGAGTTTACTGCATCTGGTTAGTTGGAAACTAGTTAGAAAATAGGATTTAGCACAATTCTTCCTTTGGGGTTCATCGACAGACAGGGCAGTTTTAGTGTAAAGCCTTGCAACGATTCCTAACCATAGGTACACCATAATTTGAATAATCAGTCAGCTGAGCTATGGCAAGGATTATGCTGTGAAGGTGACAACTCAATGCTTTCAGTGTTAACTGTCTTCAACACCTGCTGCTGGTTTTCTCGTAAATAAAAGGATATTTTGGTGAGCACAAAGATGTCTCTGTTAATACTTATATTGCGTCAATAAGAGGGTCTCGGTGGTGTGAAATGTGGGACTCAGGTGGAATTTAAGCATGTGAACAAACAAGTGTGATTCAGAAAACCTCTGCTAAGCAGTTGCCTAAATCTCAAAGCACTACGTTTGCCTCTCATGATTCATGCCTTGGAGTTAGTTTTCCACCTGGGAGTCTGGAGCGGCCTTTCAGGAGTACACATGCCCAAGTTCTCTGGACCCCAGGACCATGACATTTCTCCATCCAAGTGTCCTGGTTGGCGTGACCTCCTGGCCACTCGGGGATTATTCCCCAGACTCACTGACACAACTGTCTCCTTGACAAAACACAGCAGGATGTTGTGATACACAACACAGTGGTAATGCTGGTACTTAGTCATGGGACTTATTTTATTTTTGTTTCTTTTAGGGGGGATGTTGTGTGTATTCCACAACAATTTAGCATAGCAAAGACAGAAATAATCCCGAGAAAAGTCAGTGTGTGTCTCAGCCCTGGGAATAACCTAAACATTAGATTAT